GATGGTGACAATAAGGTTCTGTGTTCTTTGGCGAGGAAGCTTTTGGATTAGAACGTCTGCTGAACTCTCACAGCCATGTAAAGTCAGAGCTTTGAAGAAATTGAGATTCGCAGTGTGAGCTCTTGACCCAGCAGAAGGCCTCCATAACTAGCTCAATACCTGCGGGGGTATATCATCCCAAGGATCTATGTACAATGACTTCCTCCTCTCGCAATCAGTGGCCGAGTACCAGCGCAACTGCCCTTCCGTCCCAACACCCTGAAACCTCAACCAGAAACCTGCAAACCCTATCACACACTTTGGATCTCTTTGGAGGGGTGCCTTATTGGAAGGGTCAGCCTCTGATCTAAGTCGTCCGTTTATGATGCTGAGAGAAATTGCCAGTCGAATCCACCCCATACAGGGCTTTCACGCAGCATGCAAGCGAAATGCACCCTGCCTCGAATCCATACCATCACATGCGCCCATGAAGGCTGGTGGCTCAGATTCGCTTTAGGGGTGGATGTAGCCACAAAGAGAGCTTAGGACATACAAGAAAACAGCTACCTTCGGAATTCGGAATATTCTACAAATCATATTTGGAACCAAGTAGGCTACTACATGAAACAGATCCAAAACCTGCTGGTGGTCAACCTGCGTCGAGTTTGTGCGGACTCTTAATCATACTGGTTCTTAGGAGGGATTAGGGTTTAGGGTAGGGAATAGGGGGATATCATCCCTCTATAAACCCTGTAGAATCTGTTCCTTATTCGCTTCAAGGAACCAGCAAATTAATGCACCAGCGAGCAGCTATTTTCAAGCGTTTATGTGACAGTTTAGACTTTTGACATGTCTAGGACTTTATATTCCCGTAGGCCATGCCATGCCATGGCCCTAGACTGGGGCGCACCGGTCTGGGCTTTAAAACCTGAACGGCGACACGGACAGCGAGGAGGAAAAGTAGCAAACACACACAGGATCACTGCTGAGCTTGTCAGCGCAGAGCACCCTGACGTGCATACAAAGGTCGGAACATTTAAACGTAGCCCGTGGGGGTGATAGAGCCGCCCCAAACCCGTGCCGTATAACAAAAAAAGGGTGCGGGAAAAACAAACAAACAGGCCGGGCCTAAGGAGGCCTAAGCACACAGAACCGAGACTAGGCATGGTAGCCATACAGAATCACCCGGGCGATAGTTGCATCATCAATATGCGGACCTAAGCAGTGTTGACACAAGCATCCCGGGACAGGGGCACCAAGATGCTGTCTAATAGAAGTATGACCCTATGGATCGAAGTATACAAATAATGGAGAATCAAATGGAAAATCAAATGGAACATGAAATCGAAACTGGGGCTAATACAGGGGTAACACAGAAATCCAAGTATACAAATGATACCTACATTGGGCCCCAAAGTCTGTGAATGTTACCTACATTGGGCTATTCGGATCCTGAGGGTAAAACTTTACGGACAGCGCGGCGCACGATGTTGGATGCAGCTATCACAGCTGCTGTAACCCTAGCAACAGGGCTTCGCCAGCCAACCATGAAAGGACGAACTGCTTTAAGGCGCAGTGTCACCATTCAAGATGTTACTCCAAGCACGGCTGAGACAGTTCCAGAGATAAGAAGCCAAAGCAAGAGCTACGAACTTCTACGGAAGGTCCAAACCCATACTCACTCCGGTGCCACATGAAAAGCTCTGCATACTATCATTTGGTGGAATGTGCAGTGGCATTGCTGTGAAATTCTTGCAGCAACGGAAATTATATGCGTCTGCAACAGGAATGCACGTGACTGCGTTGCCAAGGCAGAAGCTTCAAAAATGGCGACACCTTGACTTTGCTCAACAAGAAACAACATACAAAATCGAATGACCCCAGTTGTGACCAGCGCAGTTGCCGGATGAAATCACGGCAGCTCACAACCACGGACAAGCTGATGGCCCAAGCAAATGTGGCAAGGATAGCGGGCAAGGCATGAGCCCAAATGAGCTATAGTCTAAACTCCTAGTATCCTCCTTAATATCCCCTATAGTAATCCCCTATATAACTCCCCTCTAAGGAGTTTAGACTACAGCTCAAATTTTGCGGCGGCACATGCCTGCGGGACAGGACATTACCAACGCCGTGGGAGGATTCAGCCAAGGCCGTGAAGCTGTCAGAAGCCGTGGCGTAATCAAGCAGTGATCAAGCAGAGAGGCGCACAACAAGTTTCCTTGCCCTCATGATCATGTTCACAAGTTGCCCGAGGAGGCAACGCTAAGCCTGTGGAGCTACAGAGGAGGCCCAAGAAAAGTGTGACAAACTGCCTCCTGTATACGCAAGGTTGCCAAGGTTGCAAGCCCCTCCGTAGAATACTATACACGTCTGCTGCAGCAGTTGGTGGGCTTCTCTCGAAGCTTCTTTGTCCCAAAGTTGGCAGAGCATGTCAAGGGGCAGCTTGCAGGACAAGTTCGGAAATCACAGAAACATGCAGATGTCCGGCATGCATCATGGTGATTGTTGTGACCAGTCTTCTAGCCACTGAGAACCTGCAAAACCACTAGCAAGATTCATACGCTTCTTTTTCTGGGCTGCTGGCGCTTTCTACGAGATGCAGAGCACTGGCAATCAGGTTTGGTACGGTTGATGCCAGAACTCCGGGACCTAACTTGCCAGGTCGTGAGTGTTATGGAGGCCTTGGAGTGAAAACCAGCTAGTCCATCACCTCTTCAGCATGGGGGGAGGACAGGGCTTACCCCAGGTTCAATCCCCGCTTAGCCTTTAAAGGTCTTGCAGATGCCTGTGGCTACCATGATTCCCCGGCGATGTTAACCAGTAATTAGCTACGTCGGCAATGCATGGGTATGTAGGTGTCTGCATCGCCAGGAGGCTAGGTGGAAATTCCATCTGCGGTTGAGTGTTTAGGAGAAATACCACCCCAAAAAAACTTGCAGGTTGCATTGCAGAGCCAGCTTTTACCGGTCTACACCTATAGACCCTAAATGGTAGTTCCCCTAAATAAGGGGACCCAGACCCCAAAATACTATAATCCTTATTATGGGGACCCCTAAAAAGGTACCCCTAGTGTTGGGAAAACCCCCCCAAAACTAGTTTAGGTTCAGGGCCTACTGTAGAAGCCTTAAGGATGAACCCCAAACCCTGATGTTGAGCTTCAGAAGGTACGGTGCAGGGTTCAAGGCATCAACGGTTGGACAGCATCTCTGGTTCCACATCTGTCCCTAGCTCGGTTTTATGGTGAAGGGTTGAGTTTGAAGTCTATAAGGTTCAGTGAGGTTCAGGGATCTAGGGGTTCAGAGATTTGAGGTTCCACAGGGTTTGGGGATTTCGTCTTTTGGGGTTGTTGAATTGCTGTGGCTTCTGGCTTCTCAATTTTGAGAAACTCGGATCAAGAGACGACAGGGACGAGCATCGATAAACCAGTGCATCCGTCTCTGGTCAGATGTGGCTTCACAGAACAGGTCCAAATACAGATCATTCAGAATTGTCACCGGTCCTGTTTTCCGAGTCTCAGAAAGTAGCAGAGATCGGCTAACCTCAATGGCAAAAACATGTCATAGATTCGTTATAGATAAACTTCCCAGCGTTGAAATGATATAAGCTGAACCAGATGTTTACAGATACGTTTAGGCACAACTATAGCTACCAGTTAAAGCGCACTGTTGTTAAAGGACTTATGCCACGAGCCCGCATGTTCCGCATTGGCAAAATTCGTGGCTGCCATCGGCCCTGGCACTCCGTGGACCCCCACTGCCTGGTACCCGGATACGGTTCACGGCATATGGCATATCATACCTCCTTTAATTGTATTTGCTTGAGGCTTAAGGAATGGTGTAGAGCAGTGGAATTCCACAAAAGATTCCAGGATACCTGCCAACTTCCCGGCATATCTCGCGGCCGGTTCTTGGAAATGAGAGATTCCCTGTGCTATGGCCACTGGAGGCGATGCTAGGCAACATGTTCTTTACATCACCGCCCGCATGACAACCAAAGCCTACCTGGCAGCGAAAGTCCTATTGGATGCTCTGCTGTTTCCTCCTGCTCCTGTCGTAACAGCTGCTAACAGCAGCAGCAGCAGCAGCAGCAGCAGCCGCCGCAGCCCCAGCCCAGCCCCAGCACCATCACCCGCAGCCTGCAGCACCAGCACCCGCAGCAGCTGCAGCCGCAGCAGCAGCACTAGCGCCAGCACCGGCGCCAGCGCACCAGCGGCAGCGCACCAGCGACAGCGCACCAGCGGCAGCAGCACCGGCAGCACTGGCAGCGGCTACCACCGCCGGCGCCAGCGCAAGCGCCACCGCTACAAGACCACCGCCGCCGCCACCACCGCCGCCACCACCACCGCCGCCGCCGCCGCCGCCACCCCCACCCCCACCCGCACCAGCAGCAGCAGCAGCAGCAGCAGCAGCAGCACCACCACCTCCTCCTCCTCCTCCTCTTCTACCAATTGTCTACTCCTCTTCCTGCTTGGTCTTCTGCTGTTGCTATAACTCATACTGATACTGCTTGCTAATCCTACGGCTGCTCCTACAACCAGTCCTTCTGGTTGGAGACTGTCGTCGCTACTACTCCTCCCAGGTCTGCAGCTACTACCAACTCATCAGAAACACCGGCGACCACGTTGCAGGGAACCTCTTAAATATTTACAGGAACTTGGAACAGGACCCGTCGTCTCAAGGGGCGTCGGCCTGTCATAACTGCCTTCTTTTTTTGGGGATTGCCTGCCACACATTTGCGGAAGAAGGGCAAAAGGCGAAGCGACAGCATCGTCAACAGTCATAGTTCAAGGCAAGCGTGGATGACATGATCTGATAGACATGAGACTTGCAAAATTAGTACTAGTATGTAGTGCTGCTAGTAATGATGCTGCTCTCAGAAATCGAACATTCCCAGAGATTGCAAGAAGGCTAACCAGGATTGACACAAGTGATGCACATCATCATCAGCAACAAGTAGAGTAGTTGGAATAGGCAGGTGCCTTTGGGACACCATGAAGACAAGAGGCTCCTGGCACTGTGTCTTCAGTACCTTAGCAGCCGAAATTGGGGTACCTTGAAATTTCCCCACCCCCCGCTTTGGGGCAACTAGACAGGTTACACTGGAATTATGAGGGATAGTTCAGCATGTGTTGGGGGATGCCAAGGCAGCTATGTCCGTTTTGAAAGTCCCGAAAAGAAGTCCGATTTCTGGGGGGATCCTGTGGGGTTTTCTTGTGAAAAGTGCCAACAGGCGTGTAGAAAGATGATTTTCTCGGCCAAGGTGCCCCTTGGTACCTCGCTCCCTTTAGACCTATCTGTGTGAAGAACATCTTGTCGGGCTTGGGATTTCAGCCATTCAGACGTTCAGGTCTTCAGGGATTTAGGTGTATATTTTTTGAAAAAACGTAGAGCTTAAAGCCTTAAGGGTGAGGACACTCAGCATCATTGTCTCTGAACACAAGCGCTCTGCACACTTTGTAGGCGAGCGGCGGTGAGAAACCTCAGTGCACACTCAAGGTCAGTCCAGACAACTGGTCCTATCCTTGACATGTCTGTGAATCTGTCTTCCTCTCCAAATTACGTTGTCCATTGCTAATATGTTAATCTTCTTACAGCCATCCTTGCTTTTTGCTCATGTTCAGTTTGCACTCGTTCTTTAACTGCCGTGAATGGTGCGGTTCAGACAACAACCAGCTGCTGATGTTAAGGTATCTTGAGCCATCGCGACGTGATATGTTGCGCCATGACTGTTCGCCCTTACTCCCTTGGCATCATCTCAAGTAACAAGTCAGAAGTGGCAGAGGTAGCCCAGCAGTTGTACTTACTACCATCGCTGCTCACAACCACCCTGACCACGAAACAACTGCAATGGTGGTCAATACCCGCCCCTAAACCCTAAACCCTCAACCCAATACCCGGCAGGCGGGGGGCGAGCTTGATTGGCTTGCGCTGCAAGCTGCTGCTGAGCTATCATCCTCAGCTAAAGCATCACCAAAGCGAATGCCCACAAGCCCTAGGGTTTAGGGGTTTAGGGGTGTAGGTTTTAGGGTTCTACCCCAAAGCGGCCCCCATGCAATGTCTGAAGGGCTTGCTAGAGGGAGATCAGAACACCTTTTGTCCTGATCCGACCAAAGGAGCGCCACTTTTGAGGCTGAGGCAAGAAAGGCGTCAACATATCCGGATTTCATGGCTGGTGTCTTGTCGATGTCAGACAAAACAAGTGGGAAGCATAGAACAAATTTGGATGCGCAGGCTTGCGACGTGTGCAAAGAACTGCCGCTCTACATTGCAAATTAATGCTCGAATGTCGTTTTATGTCAGAAAACCCCAGCCCACGCGGCATTTTGGCAAGCGCAAGTGTATGGGGAGGCCCTGACATGCACGTCAAAACATTGGGGATTGTTGCGGAGCCAATCAAAAAAGTAAGAATAAGAAGAACAAATATGAAGACAACAATAACGTTGATAATCACACTAACAAGAAAACGGCAATAGAACACAGTAGTAGCAACAATAAAAACACGGGATAATTACAACACAATGATAAAAATGGTCTTAACCGGAGTATTAAATCAGCATCACAGGCTCTCAGGCGTGTTGTTTAGTTGTGGCTCTTCGGGCGGCGCCCCAATACCTGCTGGAATCTCAGGCGGTTTAGGGTTTAGGGTTGTTTAGGGTTTAGGGTTTAGGGTGAGGGCTTTGGGGCTTAGGATACGAGAGGAACTGTGACTCCAGAATGCTTGAGCTATAGTCTAAACTTCTAGTGTCCACCTTTTTGGTAAACCCTATATAGTAGTCCCCCATATAATGCCGTATATAACCCCCTTGAAGGAGTCCAGACTATAGCTCGTTTAGGGAAGGAGTACGGTTTGGAGCTGAGGCTTTTGGGATTGGGTTGCATACTGAGTTGGAAGAACTGCAGGAAACCCTATACCCTAAACTTTGGGAATCTGCTGAAGAAGTTCCCCCTATACATCCCTCCAGGGCCACGCAAGGGTCCTAATAACTAATGCTGACTCCTCAAAAGTTGATGAAACCCCTACAATCTCTACAGCTCCACGCTTCCCGAAATTATCCTGGAAGCCCCTAAAAAGTGCCGTACTGGGACTACCACCTTAAAAGCGGCGATGTTTTTGGCTTTATGAGTTTGATGCAATTTCTGGGGGTGTGTGTTCAAGATGCATGTTCGTTCGTGACAGATAGTTACACAGAAAAGGAACTACACCAGACCCTCTTCCAGGCACCTGAATCCGAGGACCCGATACTACCGCGTAACTTTCCTTGGAGCCTCGTATACTTCCCATCTAAACAAGCACCCCTGCAAATAGCGACGAGCCTGTGCCGTCTAGCACGGGCATGCCAATCTCATCCATGCCATGAGCGAACGAGCAGGTGCTGCCTTTGGTGCATCTGCCCTCCCTTAGCTGTCGGCGCTTGAGGGAAAAGGGGGCTATCGCAGGGACACAGGGTGAATGGAAGACAAACTGGCAGCTACTATGCAAGGTTCAGGCGTTTAGGGCACAGGGTTGTCGCTTGTGGCAGTGGTAGAAGCGGCGGTATGTAGTGGCGGTAGGCAGCGGCAGCGGCCCCAGTGAGCGGGACTGCTTCTAGCCAAAAAGGGTCCATGTGTTTCATATGGTATGTACTTAGGGAGGCTCCCAGGGGGTTCCCATATACCTACGTTTGGGCCCAGGTAGATACCACATTATAGCTACATGGACCCTTTGGGTAGCTTGCGAGACCATTACACCAAAGCTTACAGCCGATGTCATGTCATTGTAAGTGGAGTTGGTCCGGCCGGAGCCCTACAAACCATATGTTGGATCTGCACCTCTTTTTGTCCAGTCTCTGGAAACAAAGAAGGCACCCAATAAGGCTTCAGGTTTCTGTTGGGCTTGTGTCAAAGACTGATCAGAATCTTGGCGGTGAGACTATGACTGCCACGGAAGTGTACGACAAAAGTTCCAAGCACCAGAATCGTTTATCTCGTCCATAGATCGGTTTGAAAAACAGCCACATGGCCAAGACGGAGCGTAATAACATACTTACATCAGGAATCTGGGCAAGTACTTTTGTAATGTTGTCCATTCATAGATTGCCAAGCCCCAACCTCGTTGGCATGGCATGTCTAAGCAAGGGCAGCCAGGCGTCAGAAAGAACTTGCACATGGCGGTCTTGACTTTGCCTTGGCTCCGTGACTACTTCTCCGCCCGAATCCCCAAACCCCGCACAGAGTCTAGCTTCTGAAGCGAGACCAATAACTCTCCCGCTTAAACTCATAGATGGTTGCGCTCTGGCGCCCCCCCCCCCCACTTACCTGCGCCTCTATGGTGTGGTTGGGATTGTCGAGTCTTGTGATATGTGAGGATTGCTGTAAAGAAGTATAGAAAATCTGTAGGGCTTGGCAGAGATTTCTAGTAAAGCAAACATGTCGCATCCTCCCCCCACCCCAGCCGTCACCATACCACAGGGTGGGTAGGGGAAACTTCTAGAAATCTGTACAGCTTCATCTTCTAAAGCCAAGCCTTTTACTAGTTCTAGACACGCAGCGCAGAACCAAATATTCTCCCTACACATGTTTGATACCAAAAAAGGTCACCAGCCTCTGGACTCTTTACTTCCTGACAATGCGTGAAGTGCAAAGTGTGCATAGCGGAACGAAAGAACTCTGTCAATTACATCCTGCTACGCACGACCCATCCAACAAACAAAGACTTCCAAGGACCTCCTACATGTCCAGAAATTACTTCAGGATGAGCTTTCAGTTCATGCTTGATACCTGGAGGTCCCCAGAGTTCCAAAAACACAATTAAACTCCAGAGAATTAAAGGACAAAAGCTCCTGTTCTTGGGATCCTGTAGAGCGCTGCCCATGTGACCAGGGACGTAACACACGAGACCCATGGGCTTCGTCATGAACATGGATGTGGAACCCTACCTGAACACTAAACACAAAAACCCCAAACCCCTAACCCCAAACCCTGAACCCCTAAACCCCTAATCCTAAACCCTGAACGCATTAGATACCACCAAAAAGCAGAAAAATCCGTCGTGTTGGCGTATTGCCACTTACTTGCCAAGGCTTTACAGCCATCCCCAAACAGGGTTTAGGGTTTAGAGATTTAGGGTTTAGGGTTCAGGATTTAGAGTTTCGGATTCAGGATTTAGGGTTCAGGGTTCGGGATTTACAGTTCAGGGTTTGGGATTTAGGGCTTAGGGTTTAGGGTTCCCTTTACCGCATCACCCCCTATAAGATCCTTTTGGGGGTTTATGGCTAGTGCAGGCTAATCGAGGCGAAAGCTTGCGTGGGGGAACGCTAGAGAGGGGTGGCTAGGAAATCCACAAATCACCCGAACACTCTAAACGCTACACCCTGAGACCCTACAAAGTATAGTCCCGCTCAAGTAGATAGAATATGGCTTCGGGTATATTATAGTAAGATCCCCATATATATGCCCCATATTCTATCTACTCAAGGGGGACTATAAGCTCCTACGCTACAAAACCCTGAAAGATTCTTACCCCCGAACACCTCTGCATGTAACACACTCCAAAGGAGCCCAAGAATTTCTTACACGCTTCATAGGCTTTAGGGTTTTGTTTAGGGGTTTAGGGTTTAGAGGTTTAGGGGTTTTGGCTTAAGGGAGAATGGGGGAGTGGATCCCGTATAATCGACCATTTATAACCCCCTGCGGTATGACCACCCTGGAGTTTTGCCCACATGGTCCTCCATGGTAACCCCTGCATATTCCCTTCCCCATGCCAGCTGTCAGCACCCGTAAGAAAAGTTTAAATCAGTACAGTATAAACTCGTATATATATGTACACATACATGTATACATATATATATATACATGCATGCATGCATGCATGCATGCATGCATACATACATACATACATACAGACAGACATACACCCTGTATAGAAAACCCTTCTAACACATCAGTTTCCGTGTCATGTTGCATAAAATTCTCCGGGGCGGGGGAACTATCTTTACACCCATAACCCTATACGACGCCTCTAGAGTCCACTTGTGTGCCATAGTGAAAAAAATCCGAGTATCCCCCTATCCCCCTTAACAACCCCTATAGTGGTGCCCCATATAATCCCCTATATAACCCCCCTTAAGGAGTTTAGACTACAGCTCATGTAGCCCTATAATATTCCCTACACCCCCTCAACAGGACCCATAATCTTAAGAAAGGGAACTCGCCCCGCCAGCACCTTTGCACTCCGAGTCCGGCCTGGAAGCTAAGCCGGGAGAGATACGAGTTTAGGGTTATTGGGTTTAGGGTTTAGGGTTATTGGGTTTAGGGTTATTATTGGGTTATTGGGTTTAGGGTTCAGGGTTATTGGGTTTAGGGTTATTGGGTTTAGGGTATAAGGTTATTATTGGGTTATTGGGTTTAGGGTTATTGGGTTTAGGGTTATTATTGGGTTATTGGGTTTAGGGTCTGGGGTTTAGGGTTTAAGTTCTTAGGGTTTATGGCGTTTACTCTTTGGATTTATAGCGTTTATGCTTGAGGGTTTTGGGTTTTGTTTTGAAAGCCGACGGCCTTGGGTTTAGGCCTCCGAGCTAAGGAACTAGGGTTTTGAGTTTAGGGTGTAGTAGGGTTGGGGATTATATCTGGTTTCATACGGTTATACAGGAATTGCAGAAGGTGTAGGGTTATCAAGCAAATAATGGGGAAGAGCAGCAGTGGAAGTAGAGGTGGAGGTACTGGTACTAGTACTAGCAGCAGTAGTAGTAGTAATAGTAGTAGTAATAATAATAATAGAAATAGTAATAGTAATATAGTAGCTCTTCTTCTTGCTGTTGCTGTAGCGGGTTAGCTCTGCACTTCCAATTCTGAAGCCTGAAAACCTGAAAAAAGGCCATGTTGGGAGTGTTTTCTGTGATGTTGGATTACCAGCAATTGGCCTGGAAATGGGTCTCAGGTTATAGTCCCCCTTAAGTTTATAGAACATGGGGTATATGGGGATCTTATTGCAATATACCCGAAGCCATATTCTATTTACTGAAGGGGGACTATGTGTGCTTGTCGTCTCAGTGTTTAGGATCCGAGGGTTCAGGCCTGGCAGAGGACTCAAAGCGGCCATACTTTTGACAGCCACCCATGTGGAATTTCCGATAACAAACAATCGCACTGTAGAGGTATCCACACAAGGGATCCCAACACATTCCGTGGAATATGGTCCAACATCTTGAGTGGAATATGGCACCACTTATATACTGAAAGCTCATGGGCAGAGGGATTGTGGATTGTGGCTGCTGAACGGCTTCACTTGCATTAGTTCCAATCCATGTGAGGAATGCACTGCAACATCTGATGACTCCCCTCTCCTGTTTCTAACAATTATTCTTAGGCGGAGTGTATATGTACGCATATGTATATCTGTATATATTATATATATATATATGTATACGTGTAGCGTTTTGTGGTTTGACCAAGTAAGATTAAATTTTGTATGTCAAATACGAGTACTATAGCCGAAAGGAAGATATAATCTTACTGTATATGGGATACCATAGTACCACTACATGAAACACTGCTGATATTTGTCCAAACAACTTACAAACCGCAGCCCCACGGTAGCCCCAGAAATCACGAAACCCGCAAAGAGTGAATAAAGGAACCCGCTAAGTCCAACTAATTTCAAGTTACTTTGTGTTTTACAAGCCCCTTTGCAAACACCCTATGAACATGACACATACCTAAGAAACAAATGAGCTCTCTAATTCTGATTAGATACCTGTTAGATTCTTTTGTCTTAAGTCTTTATTGAACCTCATAAAATCAGATCCCTCATCTAGTTGAAATTCCATAGTCGGATTTATGGTCCTTTGTTACTAGTTACTAGTACTCCTAGAAATATTGCCATGGCTGTGTTAGTTTTGATCTCATGACCGCATTTACAGGATCTCCTACATTTTCTTTCCGGAGTAACCGGCAACCCTATCAAAACCCCCATTCTGTGGTGGAGCGTGCACTCTCCTCAAAATTACTGCAATTATTGTTAACATTCTTCTCAAGCTGCCCTCAACCCTAAATCTTAAACCGAGTTCTGAAAAGTCCAGAGTAACGGCGCCTGCATTGGTATTGGCCAGCTCCCACCTCCACGACCTCAGAGCGCACAAGCGTACTCCGTGGATCCTAGGGTTTGGGGTTTTGGTTTTTCTACTATACTCTTGTGGTTTCCTGTTTTGGGGTTCCCTTTATGATTCCTTTAAAGTTATAGTACTGCTAACGGGAATAGGCTAGAAACAAGAACTGGTAGTACTCGCGGTAGTAACGCTTTATGTAACCAGCTATCTGCATCAATGCCTACTCCTCGTGCCATAGAACGGAACTTCCGTTGAGAGGGAGATTTTTGCCAATCCGGCCAAATGAGCAATTGAGCAATTATCAAGCAGTGTCAGCCCTTCGCATACATCATCTGCAACACAAGGTATCTTGAGCACCTCGATGACCAGAATCCTTATATGTTGGGCAATATGCGGTGACAGTGACATGTAGCAATACTCTAATGGTCGCGCAATCAATTCTGCGGCTTTGAACTTGTGCATTCGAGATGTGGGTTCACAGGCTTACAAGGTCAGAATTGGACAATCCTCGACCTCGTCAACTGTGAACAAAAGATGTGACACCAACCCGGGTTGCGCTGTGGGTACCAAAATGCAGCAAAACTCTCTTACTGTTTTTTACGATTCTACCAACAGGAAGGCGGAAATGTTATTGACATGCTAGTCAGGGCAAATGGGGTACTGGGCCTTTACCTTCCGGGTTGAGGCTTAACCAGAAGGCTTCAACTGCTTGGCGAAGATCGGCCCCTATCATCACCGGGACCCCAGACTTGCATGTACCAATAGGGATCTCTTACCGCTTTCATCCTTCTGGGAATCCTCCTGATGGCGCAAGTACACAAACATTTACGGAACACACACCATCCTAAGAGATACTTCTGGCACCGCAAAGGCTACTACAACCACTAGAGTCCCGACTGCTCGCTCTAGAAGGTGGTGTCCCCAGAACTACCAACCTCAATTGCTGGCATGTCATTCTCTAAGGCTTGTCCTCCAAGCCTCCACGCAGGAAGCGATCCAACCTGCCCTCAACTCAAGCGCCAAACTGCAAACCCCACACGCTACACCCACACGAACCCTGGTGACAAACAACGGAGGCGCTACATGCTGACCTCAAAGAAATCCCAGCTGCCGCGCTAGCGCTTCTAAGCTTGCCGTGCACGGCACAAAGGAAAGTGCCTCTTGCAGGGATTAGCGGGGAACGTCTCAGAATACTAAGAGAGGGAGAGAGGGGTAAGCAGGTTTTACGAATCCTTCGCTTCATGTAGTCAATCTGCATGTTGCCTCATCTACTCCACATCAACTATGGCCCCTTGCCGTCCCCTTTAATTTAAGCCCTTCATCTTGAGGGTCGAGATTGACTGTTCTAACTAATCCAGTGAGCAAACCCCAATCATATTCCTACTGGCAGTTTACTACGCCGCCGATCCTCCAACAACATTCCTCCCATGCTCGGGCTCCATCTAAACCAATGTGCTCTATAAGCCAATAAGGTTGAGGCCAAAAAAAAACATGGCAAAACGTAGCACGCCATGCTGAAACCTCACACGCACTGTGTTCCAGCCTCCGCCCTTTACTCCGACTCCAATGCCAAAGCCTCCATCCTTGCCAGGTCCTTTGGACTTGCCTTGGGGAACAGCTTGTGGGGGATGAGGCTACAAGCATACCACATCCGGTAGCAGTCATAGAGAGGACAATGCTTCTTTGGTGGCGGAGGCAGTGGCTGTTGCTGTTGCAGGGCGTGGACGCTGGTGGTATTGCTGTTGCTGAGCCCGCGCGGCAGTACCATCTGGTTCTGCAACTAGAAGTAGTTGTAGGAAGCTCCAGGTGCAGGAGTAGTTCTACTGGTAGGACCATGCAGTCACCAATGACGTATCCTCAACATTTAAGCCCTGCCGTCTATGGCAGCTTTCCTCGCACAGCTAGCAGTCAGTGAGCCTGAGGCCCAGGCCGTACCCTTTACCCATGCCCTTGGAAGCCATCATCTGCATTCCCTTCGCCAGCATTCCCTTAGAGTCCGAATGGGATGCAAATGTGCAAGCTGCACATCAAGAATATTTCAGGCCAAGCGACAGCTTTGCCGTAGGCCCCATAGCCTCCCCAGCTGTCCCAGCCTTTGCCGGCGTCCCAGCCTTTGCCTTTGCCGCCATCCTGTAAACTTGTAAATTTGGACCACGCTTAGCGTGAGGGCTCGGAATGGGGCACGCATTGCCCAAACGGAGCTGGTCCTGGTATCCGTTGCAGCCTCCCCAGCCGCCGTAACCGTTCTCGGCGGCTGCTACAGCATTCGGATCGTGCGAGAAATTGCCTTAGCTCTGCCCGGGTAGGGCGCACAAGAGCTAGTCATGAAGGTGGATGATTATGTCCAGTCTTCATCGAAGCTGCAGCTTTCTCCTTTCGTGCATTTGCCAGCCTGGCTTGCAAACAACTGCGCGCAAGCTAAGGAAATATCTGGCATTGTGCTGATGCTGCTGCTGGTTCTCTCAACCCACTCACGTCGCAGTCTCTCGCATTATGCTCAGAGTGGCTATGAGACCCAGGAGCCCCTGGGTAGCACCCAATCAAGGGCAGCTCAAAGTTGCTAAAAAGTATGCATGGATTGACGTGTGCTGTGCAGTGGCTCACGGCAGGCCTGCCAGAAGGTGCAGGGCACATGCTTCGTGTTCCCAGTCACCTGATGTCAGCTTGGAACTGTGCAGGGCACTGCTCTCCAAGTGTGCGGAACGCTATGGAGGGAACATGCAAAAGTTGGAACACCTAAGCCGTTCATGATTCATGTTATACTATAGTGACTATATGAATGTTCGCCCACAAGCCGTAGCTTGAAGGGCACCACCTTGATGGTTTTGCTAAGATCAAAGCCCGAGAAGTTGAGACCAAGAACCTCAAGAATCACTAGATACGTTTCTTCCTCAAAGCTGACGTCCCGCTAGCATACCCCTCTACACCTCATTATTTGGTCCTCATGGCTGTTGGGCATCTGATTCGGATGGCTTCCCAAAAGCGGACAGGTATGCCTTGAGATCACATTGGAAACTTCAAGCTGAGCCCTTCATAAAATCCTGGGAGCTTGTCAAACCTCAAACCCTAAACGTCTTACAGAATCCGCAGACTGCTTATCTACCTTGGTACATAATCTCCACCGTCTACATATAGATGTATGTGTGTATATAATATATATATATGTAACTAACTATATAGACATATATGTCTGTAATTTCCAGAAATACACCCTCATTCACCCTTTTTATGACCCATATATCTCGAAGCTTGTAAATCCTGGCTTTTAGCGGGCCTAGCCTTGCACTCCTTGCCAGGCTGGCAAGAGAAGTTTCCAACCCCGTCGTCAATCATCGCATCCTGATGTGATTCATTCTGGAAACTGGAGTTACGCAGGGATGAGATCCCTGGAATAGAGCATCAACAGGAAAATGACATAGAAACTGGGGTTATATGAGCCATAATCTAAACTCCTAGTACCCCCCCTTAATAACCACTATAACACTACCCTATATAATCATCCCCTACATAACCCTCCTTTAAGGAGTTTAGGTTTAGACTGCAGCTCATACAGGGGTATGTAGGGAGGTTTTCGGCTTGGGGATGTAAAAGGGTTGGAGTTTCAACCCCTAAACCCTAAACCCTAGACGGGTTTAGCATTCAGTTCTCCACCTCCCTAAATGCACAACCCCAATAGCTCGAAATCCTACGCCGTCCTAGAACAAGGTTTAAGGGTTTAGGGTTTCAGGGGCTTGAGGGTTTAAGCGTTTAGGGCTTGAGGGTCCAGAGTTTGAGGCTTTAGGGTTTTTGAGGCTTTGGGGTTTGAGAATGTCACATTCTGGGGATCCTCGGACTGAACCATTAGATAATGGTAGGGCCCCTCATACTGGTACATGTGTTAGCCCCGATTGGTTGTTCGTGGAGCAGACTGTAGGCGAAAGAAGCAGGTACAGCAGGCGAATTGGGTGATTTAGGGTTAACGGTACCCATAGCCAAGGGAAGGACATTGCTGTACATCCTCACACTTGCTGTGCTGCACGAGTCATGAAGCTCCGAGATGGCAGACAGTATCACGACAAACAAACCGGCAGCACCCCGTACTTGCTTGCACAACTTTGTACCAGCCGGATTAGCACCTAAATGAACAATGTGATGATTGTGCGGAACCGGGTTGAAGTATGTCTCAAACGTCCTCCAAAGGCAGTGGAGATTTCTGGGAGCTTCCCCGGCTAGGAACCATCATGAACGGATAACTCCAACTTTACTTAGTAGCTGCAGCACATGGTTTCATTGTGGGTACGTAGCAAGGTATCCGTATAGGTTAGCCTACACTTTGAGGGGGTCACATACCTAAATATATCATCATTTCTTAACCCCTTTCGAAAGGGCCTAAACCCTAAACCCCTAAATGCCTAAATCCTAAAACCGTAAAGCCCTAAACCCTAAACCCCTAAAACCCTAAACCTGGCAAAAGCCCATAAAGTCCCTTCTGAGGCGGAGTCCCGGCTGCGCTTCTTTCCGTGGAGAGCACACACAACTGCAATGTACACAAAAACGCAGGGGCATCCAGATAGGGATAATGGAAAAGTAAATGGAGACTACAGGGATTATAGGGGTTGGGGATATTGGGGTTATATTGGGGTTATATAGGGGTAATGGAAAAGAACATGGAAACTACAATTTAGGGTCTATAGTCCCCCTGTATTAGATAGAATGTGGCTTCGGGTATGTTATATAAGATCCCCATGTATCCCACAATCTATCTACTTAACGGGGACTATATCCTTATTTGCCTCTACAGGGGTGTTTAGTGACATGTCTGGATTGGGGCTAAGGGGTTTCTCAGGAAGAGGAGCTTTAGGGACCCCAGAAACATATTGGAATGAACGAAGTTGCAGGTGCTCTTTTTGGGAATTGAATGAAAAGCACATTGGGAAGCTCCCCACATTAAGGAAGCAAGAGTTCATGCATTCTCGTAATTATTTGAGCTATAGTCTAAACTCCTAGTATCCCCCTTAATGACCCCTATTACACTCCCCATATACAATCCCCTACATAACCCCCTTTAAGGAGTTTAGACTATAGCTCATTTAAGGGCCCCAGGTCTTCGTCTATAGGCATACAGTCATGGCAAAGGTCTAAGAAACTGGGATCCAAGGCCATGGTTGTTCAAACCCGTGCAACAAATCAGCAAGAACACCCCATGCATGCTGATACTCGTATATACGAAAATAACAATAGCAAGATGCTGATGAATTGTCTCTAAAAGCAACAACATTCGTATGAGGTTTTGGGCCTGGATTTATGGCGCCATGCAGAAAATGGTGCCAGCTTGGGTGAAGAAAGCCTGGAGTAGACTGACAGCTCTCTTGACCCCAACTTTAAAACCCAAATGGGGAACCATTGCCAAGGTTGCACAAACAACTTACAACATTCATGTCATCACGTGTCTAAGTGCAAGCTAGTGGCAACCACAATAAGACCGTCTCGCATGCTGTAGAGTCATATGGTTCACACTGAAAAGCACTACCTTCAGAGCACATGTCCCTCTGAGCGCAAGCATTGTCTCCTTCTTATCTGCAGGGCTTCCTTATTCAGATCATAACTGACTACTTTGCCTCTGTTATGCTAAGCCTGCGGGACTAGTGTATGTCTCATGTGTCCTTGTAAAAGAAGATGACTAAGTCTAAGTGACTAACGGGGCAGAGGTAACAGCAGATGACAACGTGCCCACCTGTTTCGTTGTTGCCCCACATTCCAAAGCCCATCATCTTCTACCTGCACTGCAAGGAACTCGCGCAGGACCGAAGGTTTTCGGCAAATGAGGGGAATCAGGGTGAAACTTCCTCCATATATAGAATTTGCATGAAGATCCTGATCTTAAGGATTCTGTGAAGGATTGTTCGGGGGAGCTGCCATCTGGCGCTGGCCACCACTACAGGAAATGTGCGTAAATTAGGGTCGTTTTTTGGTACCCCTTAACATTAGGTGCCGTTGTATAACCTATAACCAAAAGAGGCCCATACTTTTGGGAACAACCCCTGAAGCCTGCAAACCCTATCTACGCCCTGAAACATTACCCAGGCGATAAAGGGGATCATGTAGGGTTATATTGGGATATGTTTGGGAATGGAAAAGAAAATGGAAACTTCGGATGATTTAGGGATATATTACACCGTTACACCCGATAGTGGAGAATCAAATTGAAACGAACATGGAAAATGAAATGGAAGCTGGGATTACGGGGAACTTTATAGTGATTAGGGTTTATACACGATGACCTTGTGCAGAAGACAGCCTGTCTCATACCACCCCAGCCCTCAACAGTAATGATTAACGCTGAGCCCTCCATTCTGAACCCCTGAGCCCCCCCCATCCTCAGACCCCAAATCCTAGATACAGTTAACCCTTAGGCCTTAGACCCCCTCAACCCATCACCCACAAATGCCTACACCCCTACATCCCTACATCTGTTTAAACCATTATGTAAACACAGTTTCCAAGTTGCCATTGCATTGTTCATTTTTCCTTGTGGCTCTGCATTCTTCTCATTCGTTAGACCCCTACAGCCTAAATCCTAAACGCCCAGTATACCGCCAAATTAAATAAAGAAACCCTACACCCTAAACCCTCAGCCCCTGAACCCCGCATCCCAAACTACCCTAAAATCCTAAGACCCTAAATACCCCAAACCCTAAACACCCTAAACCCTAAAACTCTAAGACCCTAACCCTAAAACCCTAAACCCTAAACCCCCCAACCCTAAACCCCCCTGTAACCTGAGTGTCGTACCTTGGAGGCAGAGCCTAACCCTGAGATTTCCCGACAGCACCTCCACAAGAGCTTGAGGCTTATATAGGGGCCTAAATAATTACCAATATTGTCCTCAGTAATGGAGAATCAAATGGATAAGAAAATGGAAAATGAAATGGACATTTGGGTTATCTTCCTAGCGAGGCAGAAGGGAGTTTTGGGGGTAATATTAGGGTTATATGGGGGGTAATATGAAGGTTATATGGGGTTATATTAAGGTTATATTAAGGTTATATGGGGGGTAATATTAAGGTTATATGAGGGTTATATTAAGGTTATATGGGGTTATATTAAGGTTATATTAAGGTTATATTAAGGTTATATTGGGGGTAATATTAACGTTATATGGGGGTAATATTAAGGCTATATGGAGGTAATGTTAAGGTTCTATGGGGGTAACATTAAGGTTATATTGGGGTTATAGTGGGGTTATATATTGGGGTAATATTAGGGTGTAAGGTTAGCGTCTTAGGGTTATAGCATGATGTAGGGGCTTATTGATTAGGGTCTATAGAGTCTAGGGCTAGGTTTAGGTTACGGTTTAGGGTTTAGGGTAGGGTTTAGGGTTATAGCATTATATGGGGGTCTCCCAAAATTACGGTTCCTTTCTTGGGCTCCAAAATTTGTTTATAAGCATTTTGAAATTTGGGGGTCTAGATTGGGGTTCCCCGATGTATTGAAACTACCACATGGGTGTTGCCGGCAAAACTGTGGCCAAAAACCATGCTTGGATTGGGGTATGTTTCGGGGGTATGTTTCGGGGTATGCTTCGGGGTATGTGTTGGGGTATGTTTCGTAGTACTGGGCTCTTAACGAGTGTGTATCGAAGTATGTATCGGGGTATGTATCGAAGGGGTCAAACATGCTCCATTTCATGAATTCCTGACCCCCAATTAATGGAAAGACCCATAAATACCTAGACATGAGGTTATATATACAAAGCCTAGTGGGGGTGCAGAAGAGTACATACAGTTCAGGGGTTCATCCGGAGACTCGAATTGAAAATCCACAAAAGCTGATTAGAAACCAGGGATAAATTTGTTAGGGGATATACGGACTTAAAAAAAGCTTCAAGATTGTACTTGCAGGGCCAGGTTACTACTGAAGCAAGGATATCTGGGTAATGCCACAGCTAGGGCCCTATAGCCTATAGCTATCATATGACTCTTACAAGGTCCTCATGTCATGAGGCTCGGGTCATCTACCGAAGATGACGCGCTACCCAGTTGCTACTCTGGGGGGTCGCGTGAAAAAGCGTGAAGCATGTCAGCTCAAACTAAGCACAGAAGGTCTACATGCCTTTGAGTCAAATGTGTTTGCAGGGGCCATATATCAAGGGGTTTCTGTAGGTGCAAGTAGGTGGGGTAGGGGGGCAACTTCGGAATAAGGATCAAGGTGTGTGGCTGAGGTACCGCTAGTACATAAGGAGAAGGATAAACATGTGGAAGTCTGTCTTGGCGGTCGAAAGCCATTGCGACCATGCTGCACTGAAGAAATACTCACAAGCAAGACAAGGACCCGAAACTGCTCCCATGATTGAATTTCTAGACCTGCGGCGAAAAGAAGCAGATCCAAGACTAGCAGGACAGTTAAGCAAATCATAGTAATTTAAATGGCTGTGTCCCGAAACTTCCTTTCTTGTACCGAAACCCAGTCAAGCTTGGCAAGTGCAGCTACAACTGACTTGATGAAGGCACCAATGCACCTGCGCTCCCATTCAGGCCCCTCCCAGACCCTTTTGAGCAAAGCGCTGCAGATTGCCTGGATCTTATACAGTTACATAAGCCGGATTGAGGAGTGAGTATACGTACTCTCATAGTATAGAGCCACATGTGGGGCTTGCCGGAGAGGAAGACCAGTAAGCTGTGTGTCTTGGGAATGTCTTGTGGTACGCGACTCGCGTGCATAAGAGACTTGCCATTACTCGGGGGAGGGAGAATTGGTTTGGGTTGGTCTATTGTTGATTGCCTGCGACCGCAATGTGAATATTTGCTCGGTTTGGTATGTCTGTCTCCTTGCCTATCTTCTACAAGCAGGCTGAAGGTCTACAGTAGGTGTGGGACTCAGTGGATCACAATTTAGGCATCGAACAAATAATTTCTTATACGATAGGCCACCCCTGAGTGAAAGTCAAAAACTGGTCCTGATGCTCGTGGACTGACAACTAACAAGCTTCATGACACATCGATTGTTCTCATCCGTCCTTGTGGCCTACTCCACCAATGATAATGTTCTAGTTGCAGCCCGGAACTGCTCTTTCTTGGTTTGGTAGCATCCCCCTATATATAGAATCCCCTATATACACCCTTTCAAAGAATCTAGACTAATTAGAGCTCACATGGTGTATGTCCGGCAGTCTGACAAACCTGTGAATACTGCACTTGCACCAACTAGAAGTGTCAGCTATCTTTGGTTGCAAAGGTTGACAGTCTGCTCATGTCTGGGAACCATAAGGAAGGTCATGGGCTACCACGGTGTCCTACCGTAGTACAGCAGGTTGTCTCCAAACAAGATCGTCTAAACACCCGTCTACGATAAAGATGCCATGTTTACCCAGCCACATCGCACATGCCATGCCAAGAGAACGTTGCCGGGGAGCAGCTCTACACATGGAATCTGAGGGGAGACAGGCATCACGCCGTTTTGCACGAGGCCTGCATCCTCGCAAAGTGAGACGCGCTGGAGCGATAGAGGTCTAATGGCTATTCACCGTCTCTCCTCAAGGCCCACACCATTCTTGCAGGAAGCATTGTAGAAATCTGATCACTTTTAGGCATAGTTTCCTCGCGTTCCTTCTTTGGCCCATGTATCAGACCGTACTCATCCATGTCTATTTTGGAGCCCCTTGCCTAGGGTACCCCCATCTTGAGAAATTTCAGAGTGAGAGCCAAGCTGCAACCTTCATAAATTGCTTTATGCGCGACAGGTACTCGCAACATGTGCTGGACTGAGCGCGTCAGCTACCAGCACAGTGCGACTGCAACAAATTAATGAATTCAGCTCAGTGGCTGTCTCTCTTGCTCACCACAGCAAGTACGTTCTTGGTCATGTGCTATAGTCTGGGAGCTGCAAGATTGGATATATGAAGGGATGGCTGCCAAAGCGCTGCATCTGCTACAATCTATCTGCTCAGCTGCACTCCATTGATTCACTTAGGCCCGAGGTATCGAGCGAGGCAGACATGTCCCCACCTCTGCCCTGCATGGTTGCCAGGACCTCAGGACAAACATGGAAGGGGAGGTGCTGCTGACTTGCAGACAACTGGCTCTTCTACTTGCAGTTGTTGTAAAAGTGCTGATGCTTCTGGGGCTCGCTGCTGAGCCAAAGCCCATGTAATTCAGGACCAGCCCAGCAACCATACTTAGAATGAGACTTCAAGGCTTTTTATAGGGGATATATTGGGATAATGGAAAAGAAAGTGGAAACTACTATTTAGGGTTTAGGGTTAAAATGGAAACTATTTAGGGTTGTGGCAACATGAAATGTGAGCGCAAGATCTTCTCTGAGAAGCCATGAAAGCCTCAGATAAGTTGCAGCCCCACACAATAGAACCCCCGGCAAACACCATCCACATGTTTCCCTGAGTGGCCGTGAATCACCCCAAAATGCTCCTGAGCCACTCATGAGAGTACATCTGCTTGTAGTCATGGTTTCATAGCTTGCCTGAATACAGGTCAGAACCAGCATGCTGTGGCTAACCCCGTTGTTCCAAGCCGCGAACCTTAAAGCAAGCAGCTCATGCGCTTCAAGCTGTCGACCTCGCAAGCCCTGCGCATCCATCCCAAAGCAGTTGTCAAAACCTCTGCCTGAATTTGCCAGAAACCTTTAATCCGGAAGGCTCTGTGTCTATCCCATAGGCCTCGTGGGAATCTACCTGACCTAAACCAGGGTAGATAAGAAGGAAGGATCTGTCCTATGTGGGACCCTACTGAAGATCCTGCATAACCCCAGTTGTCGT